ACTCAACACTGGGATTAAAGGAGATAGGTACTGCGGGTGGTCTTCTCTCTCTTGGCACACAAACACCCATATGCACACACACATGCAGGCACTTGTGTATGTACACAGATATGCAGCAGGCACTTGTGTATGTACACATTCACGCCCACCCACGCAACCCCCTTCACTGATAACTGATGTGTTCTGGATTTCCTCTGAGCCTAAGAAGAGTTTTCACAATCTAAATTTGGTCCTACAGTGGACAGTTGCTATAACTTTCAAGGCCAGTTCTATGATTTTTAACATCAAAAATCTCTGGCCTTTGCATCTGCAGCTGCATTACAGGTCCACCTGCACACTTAGCTGTTTACAGCATCCTTTCAGTGACAGTGTGGCTCACTCACTCATCTGGCAGCTGCTTCGGGAGGGAAATGCAGTACCTAAGAATCCTCCAACCAGCAAGCATCACTATGCTCAGCCTATCGCAGATGGAAATCTCCACGCCCTGACACAAATCCCCTCTGTGATAAAACAAAACAGCTCTGTGGCAGGCCTGCCCATCAGAAGATTCCCTCTCTGAGCCAAGACCCGAGGCGGGTTGAGGAGACTGAACAAAGGCCTGGCATCTGGAGCTACCACTGAGTGAAAGGGGCCCCGGATCTTCAGAGACCCAGCAACTCCTTTCATAAGAGCACATCCCTTTTGGTCAGAAACTTTCTTCGCACCTTTGGGCCTAAGTGTTACCCAGAGCCCAGGGCTTAGCATCGAGAATAATGACTCAGAGGACCGAGCTCCTAGTTGGAGCAGTGGCCAGGATCCTTTAGGTCTCGGCTGCCCCAGAGGCTGGGCCCATGGGACCCTCTGCCAGTTCTCTTCTGCCCTCCATGCTCCAGCCCTGAGAAGGGCAAGGCTAGACCCTTCCCTTCCAAGGCCCAACATCTTAGGCTCTGCTCTCCTGCCCTGCCTCCCCTCCCCCATCCACCCTCTTTCAGGGCATAAGGGACCTTTTCTATTTGCACAGCCTAAAGAAGCTGGTTGCCAAGGTGACAGGAGCAGGAACAGCGGGGAGCTTGCCATGGGGGAGGGGCTTTGCCCCCAAACAGCTGTCAGTGGGAGCAGTCCCAGCTGGGGCAGGAGGGCTTGCCTCTCTGGAGGAAACACCCCCAGGGAAGACACATTCCTCTTTGCTACTCTGCCCCTGTCTCTCCCCACTCCCCGCCCCCGCCCAGTCTCCACTGCCTACCTTCCTCCTGGGGCAGCCAGTCAGCTATAAAAAATGCTCCCACATAGCAAAATAGGCTCTCCTTGCAGCCCTCTCCCTCCCACAAGCACAAGCATGCCTGCTTGCCTCTCCCTCATTTGCCCCTTCCTCATTGAGGCGCAGTGGGCTGGCTGGGCAGAAGGCCAGCAGTCACCTCTGCCTGAGGAACTGTGTAGTCTGACAGGTGCCGCTCTGCTCTGTCCCCCACCCCCCCGTCAGGTTGAAAGAATGATGTCAGGCTTTTTGTTCCACAGCCCAGAGAGGCCCAGTGGCTCCTAAGCCGCCCCCAGCTGCCTTCCTTTGGGGAGGTGGGAGTCGAGGGTGGAGAGGCTTATGGAGGGGAGGGGGTGGGGGAGAAAGGAAGAATGGGCCAGACAGTGGGAGGCAGGAACAAGGCCCACTGAGCCGTGTCTCTGGGGAGAGGGTCTTTGTATTCCTCAGCACACAGCTGCTCCACAGAAAGTCCGGTGGGGCTACTGGTCCCCGCTCTACATCCTAACCCACTCTGTCAGGCTCAGACCACACCTAGGCCTCTAATGGCCCTCAAAGCCTGCCATTCCCTGTCGCTTACCTTTCCAGGGCTCAAGAACAGAGAGCTGGCCACTGGGCTCTGCAAACCCAAACAGTCTTAGGACCCCCAGGCTCTCTGAGCTTTGGGTGGGGGAGAGGAAAGGCAAGGAGGTCCGAATCACTGTAAGAACCGAGAGTGGCACTTGATGACTGAGGGCCAGGAGGGAAGTGGAGTGGGATCCAGTCCCGCACTGACCACCCGAGGGGTGTCGTGGGCTGTATGTAGTAAGTTCTTGGGGCAACCTCCCTGGGCCTCAGCTCTCCCACATACAATACCGAGAAAGGACTCTTTGAATGGTAGAGAAAAGTGGCATGTACAGACTGCCTAGTATGCTGTCCAACGCAGGACAGACTGTCCCTGAGTCCTGTCCCTTCTCTGTCCAACTTCCTGAAGATCCCAGAGATGACAGTAGCCTTGGGAGATGCTCAAGAGCGTCCTTGTTTTGAACAATCCTTAGAATTTGGGGCTGGTTTCAATTTAGAGAGAAGCTATACTTTGGCCTGGGCAGGAATGGAGTCCCCAAGGTCCTGGGTCCTGAGATTGCTTCAGCTCTGGAACTTAGAAATGGGGCTTTAACACTCCCCTCATGGCTCAGGGATGGAAAAGGAGGCGGAAAGATTGTTAGAGCCAGAGGTGATGGCCAACTCCAAGGAAACAGTATCTTCTAGACAACAGAGCTGATGCTCTGAAGGAACTCACAGAAGCTGTGGTAGCATGCACAAAGCTGACCCGGGTTCCAGCCAGCCAGGTCCTATGATGAGGGGGGAAGTGACATGGACTCCTGCCCCTAACCAAGAAGCTACCTGCAACTGACAGCCAATGGCAAAGGAGGGATCAGTTTTCTCCAGTGGCGTCTCACTGGGTATACTAACCACGTTTAGGAGAGGTCCCATGCCCAAGCGTAGTTGACCAACACAAAACAAAGTCAATGGTATTTCTGTAGAATTTTTATCTCATTTTGCTTTGTTTGGGCATTGTTTTGTCTTATTGGTCTTTGGCTTGTATATTTTGAGTTCTGTTTTTGATGTGTGTTTCTTGTTTTTTGTTTGGTTTTGTTTGCTTGTTTTTTGTTTGTTTGTTTCAGAGGGAGAGGGAAGCTGAGTGGGTTGGGGGCAGGATCTGAGAGGAACTGGGGGAGGGGAAAAAGTGATCAATGTAGTATATAAAAATTTTTCAATAAAAAATGAAAAAGAAATTTAAACTAGAGTTGAAATTCAAAAGAACAGGAGGAGGCGTCAGTTCCTCCACAGGAGCAGCCTGCCTCAGCTGCTGAGGCTGTGTGACAGGTGCACCCCTTAAAAGCATCTCCCAGGCACAGCTTGCTCTCTCCTGCCTTTCTTGTCTCTTGCCTCTTCCCTGATCTGTCCGTCAGTCTGTCTGCCTGCCTTTCTCACGTCCCTACTCTGACGCGGACTTTTGCCCCCTCTTCCCCCCATAACCCTTTGCATTAACTCTGTTGTGTGAGGCATGTTTGTTTAGTGGCACACGTTGGCAGGGCCCACCGAAAGGTACCCACCTGCCTTTCTTTTTTTTAATCCTTTCAGGAGGAGCTTTGGGCCCTGGTTTTACCCAAATATTCTCAGCACATGTGGCTCCCCGGTCTGGCCCTCTAGAATCTCTCTTTTTTCATCAAAGAATAAGGCTGGGGCAGTCTGGGAAAAAGCAGTGCCAGGCCAGAGGGAGCCTGGGAACCTGTGGGCCTCTGCAGGGGGTGCCCTCCTCAGCTCAGCCAGGATCTAGGCAAAGCAGTTAACCTGTTCTTTGTCCTGGGGATTTCTGAAGTCTCCAAAAGGTGAAGAAATGACTCACAGTCCTGGGCTTGGCCCATGCTTCCTTCTGCCTGCCTGGGATGCCCATCCCTGCTTGGTCTGCTGGGTTACTGCAATTCATGCTTCGAGACTCAGGTGCCAGCGGGGTGTGCTGGCACATACCTGTAACCCAGTACTCATGAGGCTGACACAGGAAGACAGAATGTTCCAGGCTAGCCTGGGCTACATAAAAAGACCCGGGTGCTGCCTCGCCTGAGAGACAGCACCTCAGACCAATCCCACATGGTGGTGAGTGGCCATCTGTGACTGCCGCACCTACAGTGGATTAAAAACCTGAATGGATCTGCTTGTGTATCTATCTGGCTCCTCTTTTTAACCATACGCTCTCTTACATAAGAAAGCATACTTGGACCTAATTGTTTTTCCTCTTTGGTGACAGTGGGGGTCAAAGCCAGGGGGGGCCTCCTCACATATTCTAGGTAAGTACCACCAAGTGACGTCCCGGTCCTGACCCTCTTGGTTTTAACTTAGTGACATATTCTCATGAAAATCTCAAAGACCACGTGGCTTCTATTGGATTCTAAGTGGTGTGGGTGAGGATGAGGGACAGTGTCTTTCTCAAGGAGTGGACCAGAGGGACTGTCTTTAATCCATACAGTACGTTCCCTGCTGTCTTTATTCCTGTGGTCGAATAGTTTGCTCTTGTTTCTTAGACTGGGAAGTCTGCTTCCAGGCTCTTGGCAGATCTTCTCATTAAAGACTGGCTGTAACCGTCAGTGCTGGGAGGTTCAGTGGTCAGGGAAGGAGGCTAGCCTGAGAACACTGTTTCTTTCCCATTTGCAGAGTGTGCCCCACAAACAATTAGCTCATTTGTTTTTCAGTCTTCTAGATTTACTCTCAAGTGTGGGGATCCCTGGCAAGCTTTTCCAGCTCCCCTCCTCCAGGCAAGGTGGTCCCTCCACTCTCAGAGCTCAGACACAGAACTGGTCACAATGCCACCCTCCGTGACCTCCCTGGCCTCGGCACACTCGGGAGAGAGGGCGTGCCTGGCACACATTAGTTAGCCGAGGTCCGCTGAAGGATGAGAAAGTCAGCTTCCTGTCTCCCCTCTGCCCATGTGGCTCTCACAAGCTCTGTCCAGCCATGTCCCTTTCACTAACTTCGGGAATTTCAATAGCCCAGCCCCCAACCCCTCCAGTCAGGGCTGAGATGTGCCGCTGAGAAGGACTGGCTTATCTTCAGTGATGTGGCTCCCTTCCTTACAGTCGGACTAAGCATGACACGGGGCCTGGAGTTGGCAAACCCCCCGGGATTGGGAGAGGACAGGGGGAGGAGGCTGGTGTCCTAATGCACACACAGAAGGAAGGTCTGGAAGGTCCTCTTGATCCACAACCCGGATTTCATCCTCCTGGGGCCTTACCTGGTGCTATGAGGGGGTGAGCAGCCACAGCAGGAACTGTCCGACCAAGCCCAGGCCGGCCCTCCATGTTCCCCGACATGCTGCTCTCACAGTCTCCTTTCCTGAGTGGCTCCGCCACACTGTCCGCTATACCAGGCTTGGCACCTGCAGGGGACCCCTGAGCCGTGGTCCTGCCCTGTGGTGGGGCAGGCAGAGGCTGGCTACTGCTGGCTGTGGGTTTCAGGGCCAAGCTGGGCAGGACAGGCTGGGTGGGGGTAGGGCCTGAGGCCGCCGCCGCTGGGGTCTGCTGTGTTCGGAGGGTCAGGTTCTGTACCTGAAAAAGAGGGGCCTGTGAGAGTGTGCACAGAATGCAGGTAGGAACTATACCAACACACAAGCAAGAGGGGGTTAGGGCGG